AAGTAGGAACCATTTATTTTTGGACGTGGTAATTCTTATGTAAAAATCTTCAGCTGTTTATTGTCACCACTAGCTTATTGGCACGTGTTGAACTTCCTTTGTATTTCATCAAATTTTCTTAAAATTTATTGTACAATGACAGAGTACAATGGTGCCTCCACTTACAACCCTAATCTGTTCCAGAAGATGGATGTAACTCAAAATGGTCGTAAGTCGAAGCACCATTTCCCATAGGAATGCATTGAAATGCGATTAATCCGTTTCGGCTGAAGAAAAAAATGACCAAAAAAACCCACTGCAAGACTCATTGGAAATGCGATTAATTTTTTTCGGCCAAAGGGGGGTGAGAAAGAAAAGCAAGAACCATGCTGCAAAAACATCCAGAGTCATTTTTTAAAAGCAGAAAACAGGATCTTACCTTACCTAACAGGCAGTCCTAAGCCTCTGTGCAAACACACACATGCTCACAGAAGCAAAAGCCAGGCAGTCCCTCCTCGATCACACTCACTCTAACTGTCTGGGCAAAAGAGCTACAAAGAAGCAGCCTCTTTTGCCAGCTACACTTAGCAATTTGAATTTCCTGCCTTTTCCCCCCTGCCTTTTTCTGTTCATAAGTGGAGGCTCTGATCGCAAGTAGAAGCAAAATTTTGTTGCTGGACCTGGTCGTAACTCGAAATGGTCATAAGTAGGGACGTTCATAAGTCAAGGCACCACTGTATATATAAAAAGATAAATACCCAAGACCATTGGATATTATTATTGCTCTAGGCACTTTTTATTTATTTTCCATTGCTCACTCTTTTCTGTTTCTTCAATGCACACATACAGTGGTACCTCACATTACGACATTAATTCGTTCCACGAAATCGCTGTAGAACGAAAACGTCATAAAGCAAAAATAAAAAAGCCATTGAAACGCATTAAAACCTGGTTAATGCATTCCAATAGGCTAAGAACTCACCTTCCAGCGAAGATCCACCATAGGGGTGGTCATTTTCGGGTGCCTGTGCAGCGAAAAATGGCTCCTAAACACAGAGCACCCGGTGGCCATTTTGAAAACCCGACGATCAGCTGTTTTGATCATCGGGAAGCGGAAATCGGTTCCCAAAACAGGGAACCGATCATCGTGTAGCGAAATTCCCCCATTCAAAACATCGTTTTGCAATCACTTTGACGATCACAAAAACCTCGTCATAATGCAGATTCGTCGTTAAACGGAGCGCCCGTCTTGCAAGGTACCACTGTATTTCAGTTATCAGTGAATGGCTATTTTTTTCTTTTGCTGGAGAAGATGAGAGGTTCATCAGAAAAATATGGGAGAAATAAAGGAGAACTGGTAGACTCTGACAAAGTGGGGGGAAATCCTCCGCTTCTTAAACACTCTGTTTAAAAAGGAACAACCATAAATACCCTCATCATATTAATAACCTGCTTTCCTGGGGCTGCTGGCTCCCAAATAGGTGGGGACTAAAATCCTGTTGCACTCTTATGCAAACAGCATAATTTTTAGAAGTGAATTGCTGCAAATTAAGAAATTTCTGTAGACACTATTTGTTGCATTCTGGGTTATGGGACTCAGCATGCAACAGATAATGTCTATAGATGTTCTTAATTTACAGTAATTTGCTTCCAAATGTTATGTCATTTTGTGACAAACCCAGACCTACTGGAGGATGCCACAGTTTCACTAAGCTGCCACCAACCATTCCCTGTAAGGAGTCACACAGACCAGGGATGGATTTTTAACAAATAAAGGAATAAGGTTTATTTACACAACACACAGGGAAAATAAAATGATCAAATGAATAAGATACAGTAACGTGGCTTAGTCTCAATCATACATACACTAGTTTGGTTCA